TGGCAAGAAAAACCTTGAGGATTTTTTAAATTTTTTTAATGTTTGAATTATTTTAAAAAAAAAAAAAATTGGAAAAATTTTTTTTATGAATTTTTTTTTTTGAAGTGCACTTAACGCGCTTTAGATGTGTATATATATATATATTGTAAAATCTCGGAGCTAAAAAATATTAAATACCCCGATAAGTTAATATAGTATATATAAATATATATAACTTATTCAGAAAAATGTTTATTTTAAGATTATTTTAACAGGCTCACTTTAAAAAAAAATATTGCCAAGGATAATTTTTTTATTTTTATTGAGATATATAATAATAATAACAAGTAAGTTTTTCAACACTCTTTTATATAAAAAAGCAAATAAATATAAAATAAAGGTTTGTAATATAAAAAAATTTTTAATTTTTATTGTATTACCAATTTAAACGCCAATGCAGCCAATACAATATATTTTTTCAAATGTTCATCATTTCACCGCAGTATTATTAATTCGAATTGGTTATTATGATTGTTTTGTTTGATTGGATTATTACCGTTATTGTAGAAATGCAACATCTCTATTAGGAGTTCTATAGTTTATTCTTCACATTACTGGAAATTAAATGAACGTGACTAACAGATAAGAATGAATCTTAAGGGGGTGGGAGATGATAATTTAAAATAAAGATAATTTATGATAAACAAAAAAAAAATCACGCTGAGGGATGATATGCTTCTTGATAAGAATAGTAAATTATCAACGAATTGAAAAAAAAATTGGATTGAAATGATTCTTCTGTTTACATGAGTGATATGAGACGAGATAATTTAAATGCCTTTTTTTTTTTTTTTTTTTTTTTTTGTTTTACTGTGCCAAACTTTTCAAATTTCCTATACGTTAACCACCGGCAAAAATACATACCGTTTTTGTAAATTTCGAATTCTAAGCGGAAAATTATATTTTCAACAGAAAATCCCTGAAAACAAAAGCAGAAATATGGCGTAAATGTACCCCGTCCAATCTAACCAGATAAATTAAGTTTCTTTCCTGAACGAAAAGGAATTTTTTTTCCTTTTAGGAGACATCCCGAATAATTTTATTTTATTTTATTTTATTTTTTTTTTTTCAATAATGCCCAAAATAATTTTAATCTAAGCGTTACGCCAAAGTAAAATTTCCGTTTTGGTATAAGATAATGAATGGATTGATCAAAATTACGCAGTTCTTTATTTGAATTGGAAATTTGCGATAAAGAGGAGGATTTTCATTAGAAAAACCATCAAAATACGCCTGTTAATCGGGAAAATACGGTCTGAAATTGGAAATAAAAATAACATAATGCTTTTAGGTTATTTAATTGAAAATCGGTATTATAATTACCGGAATCCGAATTCCTTCTCTTTTTGCACTTTTTGCAAAAATATATATATAAAATAAATCACATTTCCTTTTGTTTGTTAAATATTTGTTAGACGTATGACCCGTATTGTTTATGGGTTTGGCGCGTTTATTATTCCTATCAGATCAACCCGTTTTTCTTTTTTCAAATTTTGGTGATGAGACTTTTTATTGTTGAATCACATATCGAATTCAATGTGACGGAAAATTATCCGAATTAGTGAAACGGTGTCTGCCATTCTTCTATATAAAGCCAATAGGTGATTAATAACGTTCTGGAAAGTGCCGCGGGCCGTGATGACGGGAATGTCCGACTATGGGGTCAATTTGTTCAAAGAAACTTGTTTGTTGCGAATGGATTCTAAATGAAAACAAAAAAAGGTGGCGTGATCAACCGAATGTTAAGCAGGATGTCGGTTATAACTAAATCCTTTGTCACGTGGAAAATGATGACTTGGTGATCGTGGTGTCATTTTGACGTGACGTTGATCGGCGCTTTAGCTTTAAAACACCGGATATGCGAACCTTTCCCCTGAATTTGTTCGTTTATATTGTTTACCAAATAAATTCAAGAAAATGTCGCGTTATAATTTGTAAAATATATATATATATATAAATATAATAAAATAAAATAAAATATAATAATAATAATAATACTAATTAAAATTAACTCCTTACAAGCAGTTTGGTATTTGCATATGAAATCGCGTTGACCGCTTACAGTAATATTGACAGAACATTCTTTTAATTCGTTTCCCAATCATGAATTTTTGTTTATATTAAATTAATCGAGTACCATATGTGCCTTAAAACTTTCACAACTGTGGTGGTTCATTGAATATCGATCATCACCATTGAGACTTGTTGGTTTTGCTTTTTTCGGACTGTCCCGATGCGAACTGCATTATTGAATAATTATCGTTTTCTTGTCTTTTTTATTTTTATCTTTTTTTTTTTAAAAAAAAAAATTCCCACATCAAATCTACTATCTCCCTACACACCCTTTTGATGTTCCCTTTTTTTTGGAAACGGATCATGTGAACACGGCCCTACGCCCTTGATAAATTTATTTATCTTTAAAATACTAATATGTGCATTTATACATTTATTTATTTATATTGATACAATAGCAATAAAGGATTATGCTTGAAATGACGAAAAATCAGGTTAAATGTGACAGATGACACTAAAAATACGCAAAAGAAAAAAAAATATATTATTATTGGTTCAATGAAAATACCGGAAATAACTTTATTTGTGCAATTAATTATGTTTTTACCCTCTTTTTTTTCTTTTTTTTTTTTTGACCCTAGTGATGATGATTCAGTCTAGGTTTCATGCAATTTATCTTAATCGTATCTTCCAATCCTGAGTTCCTAGATAAATGATTTGCGCAAAGATTTATTCGAGAAAAAAACAACTCCCTTTTCAGTTGATGAATATCAAGTTGTCATAAATAAATGCCGGGGATACGATCCGGTTTAAATTTTAATTATTTCCCTGCTTACTCAAGTAACGCAACCATCATTATTTAATAAGCTTACAGGTAGGATTATGCAAAATATTGAGAATCTTATGTACTTTATTCGGACCTAAATTTTGGTGAAACATGATATGCATGCCATTAATATGACGGTCGTCGCTCACTTTATTTTTAAGCTCAGAAAAAAAAATGGTGCATCCCTTTTTACGGAGTGAAATTTCTTTTTTTAAAAAAGTGAACACCTTGTAGATTTTTTAAAGTACAAACATCATTTAATCAAATTAATCAATCAAATTATTCTGTCAATATAATCAAATCTCCATTTTTTTTTTTCCTTTTATTTGTATCTCCCCGCTTTGATTTGAAGATCACAGGGTTCATAGGGTTCATGCAAGTATATTGGTAAATCACAAATCAATTTCGATGATTTGTTTAGGAATTATTAGTAAAACATGAAGTCAACAATTAAATGAATAAGCTTAGTATTAGAAACAAGATTCATCATCAAATCAAAGGACAAATTAAAAGGGTGAGCGAAACAACAACAAAACAACAACAAAAAAATCAACATTCAAATTTACGATGCAATTGTATGTGCAATAAAGTGAATGTTGGTTAGATCCGGGATTTCATTTGATATAATGATCGCGAGAATTCCGAGTATGTTCTGTGAAAATTATTATTATTTTTATTTACTTTATGCAAAACACTTTTGTTTTGAAAGCACAATAATATCATTGTGATATTGTTTGATTTGTGTGAAATGTGAAAAAAAGATTTTCTATTTTTAAATAACAAATTAGGAAGTTCGTCAAGAGTAAAAAAAGGTTTTTTTTTTTTACACGTCTTCAGCTCCAGATCACTTCCTTATGCAATGATATATTCATATTCATTTTATAAATCAATCATGTTTCTATTTAGATGCAGATAAAAAAAAGTGCACGTTTGAATATTATTCAATAACCTTCCTAAACTTTACGATACAATCAACATCTTTCATTTTTAAAGGAAAAGAGGTTACAAACTTTTTTTTTTGATTGAAAAGCAAAATTTTATTTCTAAATTTAGCAAAATCTCATTGAAATTATAAGAAACAAACTGTCTATTGATGCAGATGTTTGTAATATTTGTGTAAATTAATGATTCGCCTTATCTTTATCAGGAAGAAATCTGAGACATTAAAAAATAATAGTACATCACGCCATGTTTTTTTAATTTAGTCCTTGTAGCAAAATGCAAAAAAATTTAAATGAATCGTTGTAATCATTTAGGCGAGTCAACAATGGTAATATTAACTACTTGCATCTTTTACTGAGAAAAAAAAAAATAAGAAAGCTTTCCCAACGTTTATCAAAATTTTTTTAAAAAAAATCTTTAAACAAATTTCAAACTGAAAAGGCGTAGCATTTCAATTTAAATTTCCATTGGTTTATTTTTGATACATTATTTATTTATCGTTTTTTTTGAATTCAATTTCAATTGCACGTGGATTTGAATTTCTTTGTATAAACTAAATTAAAAATTTTTGAATTACAAATGACGAATGGGGAATTTAATAAACAAACGTTTTTGGGCTCCGGGAAGACGATTAAAAAAATTGATTCTCACAATCATTTTGAAAAAAAAGCCATTTTTATTATTATTATTATTAGAAATTTAAAAAAAAAAAAATTGTTGACGATAAATCTGTATGCGTTTAATTTTATTTGCAATAATAATTTATCACATCTTTGTTTTATTTAATTAATTAATTATTTTATTTATTTATTTTTTATTTTTTTCTTCGTAAAAAAAAAAGAAATTATAAATTATTTATGCGTCACGACGATAAAAAAAAAATTTAAAACAAATTATTCATTCTAACCTTTTAAAAAATTTAAAAATAATTTACAAATTGAAAAAAACGGAAAAATGCATTTGGTTTGAAAAATAAGAGGAAAAAAAAATTTATCTATTCACAAAATAAAAAAAAAAATAAAGGGAGAAAAAGAATTTCTAAAGTTTATGCAAGAGAATAAAAATATAAAAAATTATTTACAAAGACTGTTGATTTCATAACGATCAAGTGAAATTTCCGATGAGATTTGAACACGTTCATCATTTGTCCAAAAAGATCTTTCTTAATTTTGCCAACATTTTAGATCCATCGGACCTGACGGAAGAATTCCCAGAGCTTGCTGGCTTTATTTACATCGATGCGCAAAAGCTTCTGGGCATCGCTCTTCTTAAATGGCAAGTTCCTCTGAATATATCTATTAGCGGCGGAGACAAGAGTATGTTTACCAGTCAAGTATTGTACCGGAGTGAGGCGAAGGATTGAAACGACACTTGCTTCAGTCTCATGCAAATCTTCATAATGAGGTAAATGTGAAATATTGAGGGGTTGACCTTTCCAAGCTATGCTTGGAGTGTAATTATCCAAGATACTATGATCTACATTTAATTCCTTGATCGCTTTCATCAACTCTTGATGTTGCATTGGTTGCGGAGGTGGAATTCTGACCGACTTGATATCAGAAGCGATAACGGCGTTAAAAATAGATTCCAAAAGTCCTCGATCAGCCATTACTCTGGCCAAGCTATTTCCCTTTCGCTTTCGTTCGGGTTTGACGGCTCCTGAACGTCTTGATTGACGTTGCCTTCTCATCGGCGGTTTTCCCTTGCTCTTTAGACCAACTTTTGACCCCTTATCTGTCATCGGTTCATGATTTGATTCGATTTCATCGGACTTTTTTGACGACGTTTGAAGCGGGGTATATGAACGTCCGACCGAATTTGCGGATGATTTTGTGGATGATTTCACGGTTGAAGTTACGTTACTTCGCATAATGACGGCGGGGTCTTTCATATAAACGTCAACCTTGTGATTTATCCCTGGGGCGTCCTTGGGGGGAGCCCTCATGGGGTAAGGATTCTTACGACCCCTTCGTTTCCTTCCAGCATAAACTTTACGATCGATTTCTTTACCGAGTTCGGAATCATCTTTTGTAGTGGGTAAGGAAGTTGTTTCATCACGTGGATTATCTAACATAAAGGTTATACTCATTTTGGACAACTTTTGAGTTTCAACTTGGGGTGGTTTTTCGATAAGTTTTGAGGTTTCGGATTTTGTTTCATAGATTCGGGTATCATGGATTTGATGAATTTGGGTTTCATAAGTTGCGACGTTTGCCGAGGTTTTAGAATAAATATCATATGGATGAATAACAACATTCGAATTTAACAAGGGTTGTTGCGTAACACTTTCGATCGACTTTGGTATAACTCCCAACTCCGTAGATTTGTGGGAAAAGACTTTACCATCGTTCATCTTTAACCACATTCCCGATTTTGGTGACTCTGGCGATTTTGGCGGGGAAGGAGGGGGAGAGTAAGGGGCACCGGTATGTCCCATTTGAGAATACATTGTTTTTATTTATTTATTTTTTTTTTTAGTAGATGTGAAGGCGGATTGTAAAAATAAATATATGTATTAACGCAAATTCTCGTATTTTTTAAAAAAAAAGTTCTCGAAGAGAGAAGATGAGTGAAATATTGATATTCTGTATATTTTTTTTTTTTAAAAAATAAATAGAGATTGTAGAAAAAATCTAAAACGAAGAAGTATATATAATATATTATAAAATATATGTTTTTATTAAGTTTGATGAGAGAGGAGGGAGAGGAAAAAAAATAAGAAGAAATAAAAAAAAAATCTTTTTTTTTCCACAAAAAGCTTTAGCTTTAGAACAAAAAAAGAGTTTTTTTTTTAAAGTCACAAATGATGAATATTTATAGACTCGTAACGAGCTAACCAAATTTGAAATGCGTATATTATTATACAAATCATACAAATAATCGTATGTTTGAAATGATGTGATCGTTATATCGATATATAAATAATATGCATGTTTAATTGATGGGGTTGACAAACAGAATAAAATTCAAATATATATATATATATATATATATAATATATAAGAAATATATAAAAGATACATAAACACACACATATATAATATATATATAATACTTTTTTGCTTGTTCATTAATTTAAAAAAGTGAGCGGCTAAATGTTTGGCCAAGAAATTCACGGATCAACACAGTACTTCAACTATAAATATCACTTTCGTAAAGAAGATACATACATATTCGGGGTGTACGACTGTGATAATTAAAATATTAAAATGAAGAAACGTTACTGGTTAATTTGTTAATTAATTTATTGTTCACGGATTATTAATTGCAATTATGAGGTTTTAGAAAATCTTGAATTATCATTAATTATTTTTTTTTCTTTCTTATTATTATTATCTGAAAAAGAAAAAAAAAAGAAATATAAAAAAAAATCTCGTCGTACAAAATTTATGATGAAAAAACAAATATGTCAGCCACCACACCATCATCCGGAAATGTCAAAATATAGGGACGACAAAATAAGCAAATAAAAGTGGAAGAAAATAAATTTTCCAAATTGAATTTACTTATAAAGGAGCAAGGGCGTTGAATTAAGTTGCCTTAATAGACAATAAGACACACGCGATTAAGATTTTTTTTTTCGAGATTAAAAACTTGAGCTCTGAAAAAATTCGAAATCTCGGACATACAAAGTTAAAGGATGTTATTGACTTCACAAACATGACATGTCAAGGTTCGGTTGATTTATTTGAATTTTAATTTCTGTTATCAATGGATTATTTATACTTTCTCTTTTCTTGGGTAAAGTTTCAATGATTAAAAAAGGAAAATTGGCAACGTAATGTGCTACAATATGATGCTATAACTCGCCGGAAAAGTCAAGGAAAAAAAAAGATTTTCAAAATGGTTAACTTGGATTAAAAAGTTATTAGATTTGTAAAAAAAAAAAAAAAAAAAAAAAAAAAAAGCATAAATTAAATTCGATGTTCAGTAACAAACCATCTCTACTTTCGTGATTTTGTACCAAATGAATGCAAGCCACAATCCTTCTATAAATCGGTCATACCATCAATAATCACCATCAATCCTGATTTATAAAGTTCAAAAAATTCCTTTTAAAGATTGCCAGGGAAAAAAATTATACGCCAATTCAGAATGATTTGGCACAAACCCATATGAAGGCACACGTGTCAAAAAAAAATAAGTGATGTAGAACTTTGAATTGAGAATTAAGAATTGTAATCATCGATTTTTTTTTAAAAAAAAAAAAACGGAAAGTTTCCATAAAAGAATTTTATGAAACCTTCATTTAAGGTTAATTGGAGTGATGATATAATATGGCGTGACATATACTTGCCAATAAAACCCCGATTTCCACCAATTTAGGATTAGTAAAACTTTAAAATAATGGTTTACAGGTGGTCATGTGAAGTAAAAACCAAAAAAAAAAGTCGGAATAAAAAAATCTAATTGATAAAAATTTTACCGAACTATCACAAAAGATGAACAACACATTGCATCAAATGTAAGATTAAATTTTAAAATGAAAGCCTCCTAATTTAAATTCTCAGCGCACATTTCCCTCGTCAGGTAATGAATTTCCGAAAGAATCCTATCAAAAGGAAACAAGGAAATATACGACAACGTTAATGATAAGAATTGAGGAAATGAAAAGTCATTTGTTCTTCAACAATCATCCGATGAGCTAGATCCTTCCGATCTTCATGCAAGGTTAATTTGATGGTCGACAATTCGAAATGGTTTTGATGACTCATAATAGAAAAGATAGACCCATTGGGAAGACAAGACGAGGGAATTTACGGAATGCGCTAATATGCAAATTTTGATAATGTTTGAAGTAATATAATAACATTTCATTTGATAATAATAAACATAATTATATTAATTATAGATGTTTGATAACCATTATGAGAACCGAATTGAATTAACATTTTGTTTCATATATGTTTTCTCTGTTTTAAATGTGATAAATTAGAATGCATTCTATTATTTTATTTTTAATTAAATTCATTTTACATAACAGGATATCAGGAGCAACTTGTTACAATCTAGGCTACAAATATTTAGTCAAACACCGAACACACCCGTGTACCTTTTGGGGAAGCAAATCCAAGCCACATGTTTGCACTACCCTGTCGAAAAATTGGCATTTTTGCGATTTAAATGGAAGCTCTTATCTCGTTTTCTTTGAAGGATTCCTCCAAATTTAAACCTTTTGTCCTTGCTCTTTTCGGTTCGAAACAAAAAAATATAAATAATGATGTGGTGACAAGTTCAACAACGCGTCATACAAACGACTGCGCATGATTCACATGTTTTATTTTAATCCCTTTCAGTGTTTTGATTCAAAAGGATTGTAATGACCAAATCAATCCATTTCAAACGTAATTAATATCTTTGAAAATGTGTGATACGTTGCTTTTCGTTAACGTATTTATTTATGAGGGGTATTATGCAAATTTGCATCGGATCACGTGCATTACGTAAGTGGGCTTAATAAAGTAATTTCCAAAAAGAGACTTTTCCCATTTTTACCGATTTGAATTCGATTTTGTCATGTACATGCATTTTTATCTATCATAATACAGTAAGAATTCAATCTTCCAAAGATCTTTCCTTTAAGTCTTTTCTGTAACAAAAAAAAAAAAATAAAAATAAAACTAAAAATAAAATAAAATTTGGGCTGTAACACAATCAAGACATTTTATGTGTGTCCAAGACATTTATTTTTTTTTTCCTTTTTTCTTATTCTTTCATTAAATTTCTCTTTTGATTGAGATCTAGAGCATGCCCAGATTAATTAGCCAAGATTATCAAAGTATCGAAACAAAGAAAATGTAAAGTACGGAACGTCACTTGATCACGTGAAAATTTGCGTTCCAATCATTTCATGTCGAATGGCAAATGATTGGTTTATAAATTGATGCAACATTTTTTTTTTGTTCTTACAAATATAATTCAACTGAATAGAAGTAATAATGTAATTAAATTTCATCTGAAAAGCTTTTTATAATGGAGTTATTTCTTCTACAAATGATTATTGATCTTGGCTCCTTGTAATGTCAACCTATTGTCATCGATAAAAACCAATCATTATTCTTTAAGGAAAGGATCTATCTGTATTAAGAAGGTAAAAAATTTTTGGCGTCCGGATTTATGCCGGAAAATTTATTTAGAAATGATCATTAAAATCATTAAAACCATTTGGATAAATAATTCAAACCTTAATAATACAAAGAAAATTTCAATTTACTATATTTTATTAACTTTTTTATTATTTCGGCATATCCATTTATACTTTTTACAAAGCAATTTGAATAAGAACGCGTGTGAACATTAAATTGTAATGTCATTCTTTTTTCTTGTTTAACATTTTACATCGGGTTATCAGGTTTTTTTTATATGGGTTCCCTTTCCCTTGCATGTGTCACACGAGTTCTATTAGGTTTTTTTTTTCATCTCTTCCCCAACGTGATGTCGATATGATAAAACACTATCAATTTGCATAGCAATCTAACCCACATTGGTTTTTTTTCGCGAAGTTTTATTTGTACTTTATGAAATATTTACACTCGTTAAGTGTAGATTAAAAGCAGGTGGAGAAATTTTTTTTTTCGGCTTTTTCGGCACTACAAACTTTGCCTAAAATGAGTAAAGGTGATATCGGAAAACTTTTTGAGGAAAAAACCTTCCGCGGCTAAAAGATTTCAAAAACGCTTAATTACTTGAAATAGAATTAAGCAATTAAATAACTGAATTGCGTTAGTCTGATTAAGCCGCAGTAATTTTTATTTACATACATTCCGACCCCTTGAAATACCTTTTATAAAAAAGATTCATGAATATTGGTCATGTGCTGAAATATATTTAAACATGTCACGTAAAACTTTTTTTCTTTTAAAATTTTAAAAAAAAAGATACTTTGTTAAATTTGAAACCATTCCGTTTTGAGAATTGGGATGCAAGTCGAAATGAGGGTTTTAGTGCCGTAATAAAATTTTCTAGCCAAGATGCGACGGTATTTTGAAATTTAATCAGTTCGGATACAATAAAATGAATAGGTTTAATTCGGCAAGAAATGGTTGACTTTTACCATTAATCGATTGGTCCCAAGTATCGAGTCTTGGCCATGTAGCAAAAGAGAGTTCTCGTTTTGATTTTTCCAAATTTTCTTTGACTTGGAAAAAAAAAAAATAGTAATTTTAATACTTTGCCTAGCTTTTGATGAATGTAATTAAATAGGAAAAAATAACATTAAAAATTTTTTTTTTTACATTTTGTAATTATTAAGCAATTACTAATTAAAAAAATATATATATTCTTTTCATATAAATTTATCAATTTTCTCAAAACGCTATGACCACATAATGTTTATGGGGAAATGTATAGTTTTGAAATGAATATGATTATTAAATTTGCAGATTAATAATAATAAATTTCAATAAAAACTTCACCAATTTAGCATTACTAATAATTTTACCCCCGTGTGCATATTTAAGTTTTGAAATATATAGACAAATTCACGAATTACGAATTACAGCCGATTCATTTGTTTGTTTACCGTGAAAAAAAAAATAAAAAGTTTAAGAAGTCATTACTAATTAAAAACAGTAATCTGCTTATATAGTAAATCCATTTTCAAAAGAATGGATCGGAAAAATTCCCTTTTTATTTTTAACAGAAAGAACTCCCACCCTATATTTATCATTTTTATATGTATGAATATTCTAGAACGGTCTTTTTTTATACGAGTAAACAAAATTTGAAAATCAAGATTCATATGTAAAGACAAATATAAATAGACTTATTTTTAAATTTCTTTTTTTTTTCACTTTTTTTTTGTTTCATTAACTAGCAATATCCTTACATTTTTTTTTTTAAAAAAAAAAGAGAAAAAAGAAAAAAGAAAAAGATTAAAAAAAAAATATATAAAAAAAAAAATATAATAATTATAAAATCCCTTAATTATTTTAACGAATCCTGAATATCAAAAAATATTTCTCTCTTTTATTAATTTAACGTGATGTATTCACTTGATAACTATGATAACTATGATATTAATACACCACCCTTATCAGCTCCCACTTCGCCAAATGATGACTTTACAATAAGACAAAAAGCAGTCCTATCGCTTAAAAATTCACCTTTCGACACTCTGAATCATTTTTCCCTTCGCACACCTGATCAAACACATCAATTTTCTCCAAATAGCAATCTAAATTTTGATCATAATCAACAAACAGATTATTTTCGTTCACAATCGAAACATTCAAGCAAAACGTTATTATATGAACCTCTTCACGAATTAGCTTGCTTAGAACGAAATCAATCAAATGTAAGATCGACTGTTCACAAGAAACCATACAGCATAAATGGTGATCCAATAAACACTAGCACAGACAATACAAAACTTTCCACATGCTTCAACAACCATGAAGTAGCAGGAAAAATAACAATCCAAACAGAGACAAAATTAAGCACACTAGAAACGAAAACTCGGGAAATGCATGTTATGAGAAAAAACAGTTATTCACGCGTAAAACCATATCAAAAGATTGCACCAAACATAAAAGTGGAAGATTCGTCTTGTTTAATGAAAATAAATTATCTATTGAATTCGCCAATAGATTCTTCTAGTTCTTCGACTACTAGTTCACAAAATTCTTCAAATATGCAGAAAACAAAAATTTCTAAAATTAAACATTTCGATAAACCAATTTCGGAAAGAAAACGAAAGAGCAATAGCTTAGCTCGTGTGTTGCAGGATCGTGGACTTTTAGAATCAACATTAAATATTACTTCAACAACATTCACTGAAACAAAATCCATTCTCTTCCCGAATTCGCCTATAATGGAGATCGGGGAACTCAAGAAAAACATTGAAGATTTAAATATCGACATGTCATTGTTAGATGATACAAATATAAATATCAAATGGAAGGGACAACCTCTCAATATTCATCATTTAACGCATTATTCTTGGTTGCATCCAAAAGAAGCTCATGTAACTTCCATATTACGCCTAACACCCATACAATATTTAACTTCAAAATATATCTTAGTTTCTTCCGCGAGACGTTACATTGAAAAGAACTTACCATTCCGTAAGAGCGACGCACAAAAATTATTAAGAATAGACGTGAATAAGGCAAGTAAACTTTGGGAATTTTTTCAGCAAATTAAATGGATCTAAGACGGTTACTTTTTAATCGATAGTGTGACAATGCATTTTTTTAAAGAATTCATTTTATTTGATATAACCAAATATAAAATCTATATATATATATATGCGTAAAATTAAATTTCTTTGTTTTAACATATTCAGAACCAATGCCTTTATTTTCTTATTTATCCGCATGCTAATTAAAATCAATAATAAAGTGACAATAAAATTACCCTTTTATTAAAATTGATGTTACTGTACAAATCCGATTTTTTATTTTTATTTTATTTTTTTTATTTTTACTAATTCGACAATGCTTCTTTACGAATTAATTACATATTTCCCGATGATTCATTCGGATTTAATCCTAAAGACGTTGTAAGACCAGGAATAACAAATGTATAATCCTAAAGTTTCAGAAAATTTGAATGAATGCATCTTCTTTGTCATAACTAAAGTTTTTTTTTTTGCGACGAATTAAATGCATTCATGTAACAGAAAACTTGACCAACTTCAAATATACTTTATTTTAGTCTCTAAAAATAATATTTTCTTTTAACATGTTTTCTATTTTAAATATAAAGACATTTATATGATAAATTATTGTTTAAATGATTAAGGTTTCAAATTCAATGTAATTCGTTATGAGGGACAATTTGGCTTAGAATGTAAAATTACTTTATTGGTTATTCAAGCATACTATTAATACTTCTCGCTTTTGTAAGGTTTTCTGTGTATACCATGCATAACATTTCCGACATTGTCCTTGGAAAGTGACTTTCATGTGATGTTACTTTTTTAGCAATTCGAAAACGGCTCTTTATCAACTTCATCTGTCACTAATTATCTCCCGCAATCAGCTTTTATTAATTTTTCGTTTCGATGGTAGAGTATTAAAATCGGATAATTAATATAGACATGGTAAAAATTTTTGCCCGGATAATCCTATAGTAAAAAAAAAAAAATAGTTTTGTGTCACTTTTGTTCTCAAGTTAGATGCGCGCAATTACGCCAAAACGCATTCATGAAAGTTTTCGTCTTTCGGACTCATAAGATCAATCATTCTTATATTAGAACTTTATTAAAAAGAGTAAATATTTACTTTTAAATTTAGAGAACATACTTTTATTCAACTTTAAAGTTCGCTTGCATTTTAAATTTGTTTAACTTGAACATTTCAAATAATTATTACTCATAAGAAATACAGATATATTTCTTTAAGAGATCTTTTAGCGAAAGCAAACATTATTAATAAAGCTAATCTCTTGGCCGAAATTATCTTCCGCACTCTAAAAAAAAAATTAATAAGGATAATAATTATTTTTACAAATATTAAATTATTTTAAAATATTAAATCTGCCTTGCAAATATTGTTGTAACACGAGATTTTGCTATTAAAGAAGCATTGTTACACTATTAATATATGTCGATCATTTCTAAAATTTATGTTGATCATTTCTATAAAATCTAATTATAGATTTGATTGATATTACACAAATATTTAAGCATGCTAATAGACTCTAAAAATTTAACCAAATAAAGTATATTTAATATATTATAATATGAATCAAAAATCTGTTAAAAAATTCTGGAATCCTTTTTTAATAGCAAAGCTTACATATTAAATTTAAATTATTATAAAATTAAGTATTTTTTTTAATATTTTTTAGTATAAATTTATAATAATAATATATTATAATATTAATAAGTTTTATATTTCTATTTTTAAATAAAAAAGTCTTAAAATAAATTTAAATAATTATATCTTAAATAATTAATATAAAAATCAAGATATTTTAAATATCTAATGATTATAAAAAGGTAAAATATATCATTAGATTTGTCTAATCAATAAATATTATATGTATTATCTTTATATTTAGTATTATTAAATCATAAATTATATTAGTTTAAAATATTTTAAACTTTTAAAAATAATTTAATATTTAATAATTATAAAAAAGTATAATTTAGTTTGCAATTTTCTTATTAAAATATATAAAATAATAATATTTTTATGATTCTAAAATTAATGTATAACAAAATATTATGATTTAAATAATTAGATTATTATTTATAATAATTTATTATTAAAAAAAAAATTTTTTTTTAACTTTCCTTACAAAATAATTTATACATTATTAATATTTAATAAAATTTTTGAAAAATAATTCTTAATTATAAATAATATTGCTTTTAAATTTAAAGATAAAATGGACTTTTACAATAAAAAGAGAAAAATTGACAAAAAAATAAAAAATGTATTAATATTAAATTTAAACGTATTAAAAAATAAAATTGATTTTCTTTTCAGTTTTTCTTTTTTCTATTTCAAAAACTTTAAATCATTTAAAAAAGTTTTTTAATTTATTTATAAATTTATTTAATATGATTATATAACTGAAAAACTTCATTTATTTATTTTTAGTTATATAATCAAAAATCATATGTAAACATTATTAATAATAAGAAATCATTAATAAAATATTCTTACAGATTACATATTATTTAAAGGAATACCATAGTTAGTATTATAATTAAAATATGATATTTTTTGAAAGAACAGTTTAAGATAGTCTGAGACCTTAGATAATGACTTTCTAGTATCTAAGACAGTATTGAAAAATTGGACAATTTTGAATATTTTTAAACAGGTTTTAATATAATTTTATATTTCTAAAACCTTATCTAAAATTAAAAAATGTATTCAAACTCATCATTGGTCTAAGATATTTGAAATATTAATATAAATTATATTAAATAATTTACTATTAGAATTTTTTATAATAATTCAATAAATAATGATATTATTTATTAATTTTTATTAAAAAATTAATTTATTATAATTCAATAATATAACAAAATTATTTATTTATTTATTATTATTTATTTATTATTAAAAAAGTAATTTTAACTTTTTAAAAAGAAAATCTAATTTTCATTTAGCATTAAGATCAATTACAAAATAGATAATATTATTAATTATTATTACATTTAATTTATCAATTGCATTATCTTCTTTATCTTTTTTATTTTAATATTTATGAGTTTCTTCTAATATTTCTATTTATCCTTGCAAATAATTAGAAAAATCTTTTATATATTAGCTAAATTAATATTTTCTTCTTCATCTTCTTTATTTTCAGAATTTTTATTAAGATTTTTATTTGATCTTTAATATTAAAATAAAAAAAGAATTAGAATTAATAAAATAATTTTATATAATATTTGCTCATAATTTGTTCATATTTAAAGTTTTTAATGATTAAAAATAATGGATTTATAGTTTAATATTAAAATATCATATAATATCCAATATATATTACATATAAATAAAAATAAAATAAATATTATTAAACAATTTTACTGATTTGATTGCAAAAAAACTATATAACTTCAAAAACACTTAACAGAAACTGCATTTATACAAATTTCAAATAATCTGTAAGAAATAAAATCTAAATTATTTTAGAATCTCTTGTAAGATACCAAATATCATTATTAAACTAGGTAACGAAAACCATTAGAGCGTCTGAAGCATAATTCTAAATATTTTATTTTCATTACTTTCTGCAAATTTTATATGCAATAAACATTTAATCATCACATAATTTGTGTTATAATTTAAATGCATAATAAAATAGTGTTACATAAAAAATTGTTATATATTTATTTGAAAAATCAGAAATATTAAACGTTTCTTTTTGGCTATTCTCTTCTGAAATCTCTTGCAAGTTTTGATATATTGAAGTCATTCCAAGAAAAAAGAACTAAAAATGGTATTTTGAAAAGTACAAATCTGTGAAGTTGTTACGAATAAAAGTTTAACAGCATACTTATTTTTCTCAAGATCTATCACAGCCTTTTCAATGCCAATCCTTAGCTTTTATATACTGTGATGACCTACGCAAGACAAATAGGAACTTGCAACTGTATGCAAATTCCTTTTTTTTCCTCCTAGCTACAGTGAGACTTCTCTAAATGCATCCCTCTTGAGACCATAGTGAAAATTTGAAAAAATGTGTATTTAAGAAGGATGTGCATTTAAAGAGAAAAATTTTGTATGATCTTTATATACTTGAGGCTGTGTGGAATGTGCATTTATAAAAAATATATATATGCATGTATTTAAGGAGGATGCATTTAGAGAGGTCACACTATATGTCTAATTAAAGAAATTAGAACAATCCTCTTACCTTTAGTAATAATAGCAGAGCTGAAATAGTTGTTAAATTCTATCAGAATGATAATAGAAAGTGAAGGGAATAACAGGTTTTTTTCAAATATAATTTCTTGAATAGTACCTATATAACCGTTTATTAAACCAGCTTCAGTCCATAAGTTAGTCCTGAGCATAACTTTTGTATCTTTTGCCAATAATAATTGACACTCAAGTCCTTTTGCTTCGTCTGAATTAGCCTTAAATGCTTTGTTATCACCTGTATGAATGAATGGCTTTGATTCTAGAAATAGAGCAGTTTAACAATTGAGTCTATTAATATTAAATTTGGTAACATTAGACTTTCTAGATAAAACGTATATGCCATCTGAGAATTCTGTAAATGATACAGTTAGTATCTTGTAGCAGGAACTTTTCAGTCATTCAATATAGATTCACTATCTCGCATTCTCATTAATATGATCCTAAAATTATGCTGATCATCAGAATTTTCAGACTGACATAGAATAACATCGAGCTAATAGACTTCCCAAAACTGAATATATATTATAATACAATCATTTAATAACAGGTCATGTTAAGAAATTTGTGAATATATAGGTTCATCTAGCATCAGCAGGATCTGCCCAAAATCACCAACCAGAATGACTGATCAATCATTAAAGACTTGATTTTGACATTCAGGGAAAGCTTAGCATAGTCGCATATTGATTAAAGCGAGCATATGTCATTCCACTATATTTTTTCATCAATAACTAAATACTCTATACCGATTAATTTTTTTTGTAATATTTTTAGATGTTCACCATTTAAGTTAATATTATTTCTTAATATTAGAATGGATAGTATC